CCCAGATTAAGGAACGGCCTGCTCCATTTTATTACCACCTTAAACAGCTTCAAAAAGGTTGTTAAGACGGATTTCTTCTGGCAGGCCTTTCCTGAATAATTATCCCGGCCCAAAGAGTCAGCTAATTTTTCTCCCTTCCATGCTGCTGCTGATTGTTCTGTACTGTTGTGATGCTATGTTTTAATTGATTTACCCTACTGTTTTAAACTGTCTTAGTTTAATGACTTTTTAAGGGGTGGATGTTTAATTTGTTGTAAGCCACCCTGGTTGCGCTGCAGAGGCGCAGGGTAGAAATAAATTTTATTATTATTATTATTATTATTATTATTATTATTATTATTTGGTGGGAAAAGGGAGAGGCCCTTCTCAGTGACTGCTCCGTCTTTGGAATTCCCTCCCCAAAAGGCCAGGACAGCTCCCTCTTTGCTCTCTTTCCACCGGCAACTGCAAACATCATTGTGTCACTAAGCTTTTAGAAAGTGAATAGGATGGGCTTTTAATTATATTTGTTGTTGCGTGTCTTCAAGTCATTTCCAACTTATGACAACTCTAAGGCAACCCATACCTATCATGGGGTCCTCTTGGCAAGATTTGTTCAGAGAAGATTTGCTATTGTGACTTGCCCAATGTCACCCAATGGGTTTCCATGACTGAGTGGGAATTGAACCCTAGACTCCAGAGTCATAGTCCAACACTCAAACCACTATGCTATGCAGGCTGTCCTGTTTAATGGTTTATGTGGTTTTAAAACTAGTTTCTAATGTATACTGTTTTAATTTTGTAAATTTTTTATTTTTATTATTGTAAATTTTTAAACTGCTTTTTAAGTAACTTTTATAATTGTATTTTTATCAAAACTGTATATAGCAGGGGTAGGCAACCTTTTGGAGACCTGGGCCGGTTCCCCGAAGTCCAGGTCTCCTCTGGACCAAGGGGGGGGGGGGGGATGGCGGCGAGCATGTTGCAGCTGCCATTTTGATTTTCAAAATGGCAGCCGCAACGCGTCTGCACATGTGCAGGAGTAATGAGCATGCGCAAACGCATCGCGACCGCCATTTTGGAGAACATAATGGCGCCCGCCATTTTGATTTCTAAAATGGTGGTCACGACTCGTTTGCGCATGTGCAGTACTCCTGCGCATGCGCAAACACGTTGCGGCCACCGTTTTGAAAATCAGAATGGCGTGCGTGGCGTGCGCAGCCGCACAGAGGCAAAAATGCATGGTGGCGGCGGTGACAGCAGCAGGGCTCTGCCTGGGCCGGTAAGTCCAGCGATCTGGGCCGGAAGCGGCCTGGGGGCTGTAGGTTGCCGACCCCTGGTATATAGTTTTCATCTATTGTTTTTGAATATGATGTTAGCTGCCTTGAGTCTTGTTATTGGGGGAAAGGCAGGATATAAATGAATATAACAACAACAACAACAACAACAACAAAAAGATGGACCATCAAGTTCCTCAAAGAGTTAAATGAAGTGAACAGGACTCCAGAGAAAGAGAGTTAAGAGGTTAGGAAGGTTAAGAGCTGAAATGATAGCCCTGTTTAAGTATTTGAAGGGGTGTCATTTTGAGGATGGAGCAAAAGTGTTTTCTGCTGCTCTGGAGAATAGGAGCTGAACAATGGATTCAAACTACAGGAAAAGAGATTCCACCTAAACATTAGGAGGAATTTCCTGATAGTAAGGGCTGTTAGACAGTGGAACACACCCCCTCGGAGCGTGGTGGAGTCTCCTTCCTTGGAGGTCTTTAAACAGAAGCTAGATCGCTATCTGTCAAGGATGCTTTGATCATGAGTTCCTGCATGGCAGGGGGTTGAAACTGGGTGGCCCTTGGGGTCTCTTCCAACTCTAGGATTCTATTATTATTGTTTTACAATATACACTATTCTCCAGGAAATAAAAGCCACAAACTAGTTTGTTGTTGTTGTGTGCGGCCTTAGGTTGCCTACCCCTGGTTTAGAAGATGCTTGCCATTGCCCTGCTCTGAGGCTGAGAGAGTGTGATCTGTCCTTGGTCACGTAGTGTGTTTTATGGCTAAGCTGGGATTCAAACCCTGGTCTCTAGAGTCCTAGGCCAACACTCAAACCACTATGCCACATTGGCTCTCTACAACACTGTAGAAATAATGCAGTCTGACACCACTTTTAGTGCTGTAGTTCCATCCTATGGAATCCTGGGATTTCTAGTTTAAACAAGGATTGTAGTTTTCCTTGCCTCACAAAACAAAGTCACAGGATTCTGTGGGATGGAGCCACAGAAGTTAAAATGGTGTCAACCCACTGGGTGACCCTGGGCAAGTCACACTCTCTCAGCCTCAATGGAAGGCAATGGCAAACCTCCAGAGTCGTAGTCCAAAGCTCAAACCACTACACCAGGCTGCTTCTACTAGACCTCACTAGATTTCCTTAGCAGCTGGTGCATTACTCTTCCTTAACACATCCTTAAGCAAAATATACTTTGGACCATTTGAATCGCTGAATGTTTAAGGATAAACTCTAATATTAAGGCTTAAGTATAAGCTTTAACTACATTTTACAAGTGTGTCTGAAAACCATACAGTGTTAAGGGCCACGTCAAGGAAGCTCACTTTCCAAATGCATTTTTATCATTTATTTAATTAATTTACATCCCTCCTTCCTCAAGACAGGCAATGAGATATAGAGGGATGACCCTCTTCTAAGGTGGAAAACACACTGTAGAAATAATCCAGTTTCAGACCACTTTAAGTGCCCTGACTCAATGCCCGGAAATCTTGGGAACCGTAGTTTTGTGAGACATTTAACCTTCTCTGTCAGAGAGAGCTCTGATGCCACAGTAAACTACAATTCCCAGGGTTCCCTATCACTGAGCCAGGGCAGTTAAAGCGGTCTCAAACTGGATTATTTCTGCAGTTGTGTTTTGGACCTATGAATCTAGGACGGAGGGGGCTCCCCTCGAACCTGTTTTAATGAAGGTGCTGAATGTGTATGAAAGAAATCTAGGAGGATGTAATTGAATGGATGAAATTTTATTCTGTGTGTGTGAGAGAGTCTTATGT